CCTGAATACACATCAATGCCAAACTAAACTTCTCTTTCTGGTAGCGACCTTGACAATTCTTCAGAAAATATATTAGAAAACTCGGCAACGACCGGAAAACTCGGCAACAACCGGAATGTTTTGCAATTCAAGCACATCTTTATTCAACGCCTCTAATTTGATCAGAAATACTAGTTCATCACTTTTTAAATATTTTCCAAATTTCACTGTACTAATCAAGGAAGAATGTGCATTTCAATCATATAAGATATATAATCGCTTTCACCAGACAATCTGAGTTTACCTCGCCTTTTCCAGCATTCAATTATAGCAAATTGCTTTATCAACTAATCCATCCCCAATATAACATCGAAAGTCTAAATTGGTATTACATTCAACTATGCTTGCAGCTTCTTGTGATCAATATTAACATGTACGATATTGTCTATTTGTATAAAGAACACTTCTCAAATGCATTATAACACACAAACAAGAGTAAAATGCATAATATAAACATGGAAACTGACAACAAACTCATCAAAAATAAAATAATGTGATACATTTGAATCGAATAAAATAATGTCAGACTGAGCTTGAATTAGAAACATACATGTAACAACTTAAGATTCTTTGGCTTCCTAAGGTGTAATTGCAAAAAAAATTGGGTTTTTACCGATTCCTTAGTTCTGCGCTTCGAAGTTTCACCCTTTTCTTGCATTGAAGGCTTTCATAGAAATTGAATTTTGCTGGACTGGCTGTCTTCCAAAAATTTTCTGGGCTGTCTTTATTCTTGAATTATCTGTGTCCTGTTTTATCTCATCTTTTCTTGTAAACAATTCATTTGAAGATGTCCTGACTGTCTATATTTGTTGCACTTTCTTGAACCCAACAAACACCGCCCAAAATAACTTCTTTAGAACTTTTCACAAATTGGCTTTTCTATTTGAGGTTATTTCTGCTTACTTTCTGATTTAATTTTCTTACTTTGAAAGTATTTTCCTTTGCCAAAATCTTTTTGCTTACTTACCTGAGGTTGCTACCGCTGACTGAAAAATTCAGCTCATTTTTAATTTTTCTGGCCTTTTCAATTAGCATAGAGAAATCATTGATTTCGAATGATGCCAAAGTCAACCTCAACTAGTTTTTGAGACCACATAGAAATTTGTGTATTTTTCATCTTGTGTACTGACATAATGAGGTGCATTTCTGGATAGAGAAGTAAATTTTGCCTCATATTGTATAACTGTCTCGGAACCCTGAGTTAGATTGAAGAATTTGTCTTTCAACGTTAATTTGGCTGAAGGCAAAATACATCAATCTTTAAAGACTTTGACAAACTCATTCCACCGAATTTGTGGAAGAGGTGTCGGCTAAAATTTTTCTCTATGCAGCTCCTGCCACTATTTTTTTGTCTTGCTTCATGGCTAGCATTACTCTTCTATTTTTTGGACAAATCATACCATCCATAATTTTTTCAGATTTTAAGTAGCCAATTTTCAGGAATTGTAGGTTCACTGACACCCTTGAATGTAGGTGGTGTTAATGTCTGAAATATCTTCAAGTGTTGATCCACTTCTACCCTAGTTTCATATTCGAGCCCTGTCCTAGTGAAGGTTCCTTCAATGACAGTCACTTTATCAACAACATGTGATATCAGTTGAATGATGACATGTAACTTTGTTGCTTTGATTTCCCATTTGTCTTGTTCTGATTTTCATTTTTGTTCAATATATCTTCAGATCTTACTAAATGCTCTGCACTTGGCCTAAGAGAGCAGCTCTCAGTATTTTTTAATTCTCCTTTGAGCATATTCATATGTATTTGTTCAACTTCTCATTCGAATGCAATATATGATATAATAACTTTATCATGGATGCATGATATCTTAAGTCATTTGAGTTGCCCACCCCAGATTCATTAACCTATAGTTCTGTATAAATCAAATCATATTTGATCTCATTCTTACTTCTTCAAAATCCAACACACTTTCACCTTTCCTTTTGATTCAATAAAAATGTTCTGATACAACTTGCTATCACACCTCAACCAGCACCCCTTTAAGGGTCGGTTGAAGCGCGACAGAGGCGGACGATTTGGTCAGACTAAATTCTTACTAGCATTTATCATGACTTACAGAATCAGGACCCAATGGATGATGAACTAGTTTAACTAAATTTTTGTAAATATACGTGATACATTGCATCTAATATATCATTCATATTCATTCTCAGAAGGGTAGAAAATCATATCATTAAAATATCTCTACAAAACTGCTAAATCCAACATAATTAAAGTACGTAACCAAAAGCTGCACAAACTTCCAAAACTATGCAGTGCAAAAGCTCCACAAATCACACTGAATACTCACCCTGGTGCTCCTTGCCCCTGCCTTTTCTTGCCCCTGCCTGAAAGGCAACGCAGAGTGAACAACAATGAGCTCTTCGAAATAATTAAGGCTAAAATAAAAATTTATACACAGAAAAGAACTAACGTGCATGTTCATATAAAACAACTTATACAAGTCACAACATCCTAAAATTATATAAAACATATAAAAAAAAACAGAAAGTTCATAACTGTTATATAAAACATATAGTCATAACCAGGTACAGAAAAGAACTAACGTGCATGTTCATATAAAACAGCTTATATCTACACACAAGTCACAACATCCTAAAATTATATAGAACATATAAAAAAAAACAGAAAGTTCATAACTATTATATAAACATATAGTCATAACCATGCTCATAGTCATGTAATTATAACAATGTCATCATAACAATGTGACTTGTAAATGTATAAGTCTCAACTATTTTAATGTTTTGTTATATCATGGGTCATCATCCCCCCAAAGACCATATTAACTATCGAAACTATTGATAAATGTTGGCCCCCTACATAGCAGTTATCAATAGCCTCTTTATACAACTCACCGCCTGATCACAAGGTTTTCTAGAATTTCGATCTCATCTGAACACCAAGAGTCGGGAATATCATATCCCTACATAGCTTACTTGCAAGCACTCTTGTAATAATCTATCAATAACATCACTTGTGACATATCTTAAAATATAGTACACGTAGCAAACATTCATAGACATTTTATATTTTGTATGTATGAATCATAATAAATGAATACCTGCAAACAATTATTTTCATAAGTACTTTTATGTTTCATAGTATGATCATAACATAGTAATATCACAAGTATCATAAGAAGAAATCAGCTTGCATTCATACATTCAATGCAGAATTTATCCACAATATGAAAGAATTTCTAAATGCATTAGTGTCAAACGCAGAATCACATGGAAAACTATTGATAATTTTTTCTTAAGTTAGCACAAGATTATTTCACCTGACTTGACAGAACAACCCTACGATGAGCTTCCTCACACTTGTCTTGAGCTCGCCGTTTCGAGTAAACAGCCTGGACATCATAAGCATCATAGAAATTCATGAAATCGTAGCTCATATCGTGATTAAACTCATAACATGACCTAAATGCCAACACACTTCTCAAACAGGTTTTTCGGCATAATCGACCCTTCACCAAACCTGTCTATTCCACTTCCTCTAATACTCTTCTATTCTCGCTGATTTCCCGCCAAAATCTTTTACGAAAACCCACCAAACAATTTTGTAGCTTTCGACGCAACTCGACTACTATGACCGAAAATGAAAAAGTGCACAAAATTGAGGCAAACGTCAAAACATAAACAAGAGGAAGGAAATGAATGTCTAAAATAATAATAATAAAAAAGATTCATACCTTTGATATCGTCCCCGAAGCTTGAATTCACAACCAGCTGCTCCTTGACGTGCGCGTGACTACTGCGTTCGCCCTCGCCACAGTATCCAAGTGAGAATCCCTCCAGGCGAGCGAGTGAAGTGAGGGAGAGGAATGGGAGTGCGACACTTTATCGTGATCCAACCTCTCATCTCAGCGCTTGATTAAATCGAGCCCTTGCATGTATGTATAACTGCGCAAAGGTCAGCTGGGCATAGCGCATAGGCGGGATTAGGAAAAAATTAGAATAATAAAGTGTTTAATTAATTTAGTTAAATTTAAAACTTCTAAATTTTATCTCTCTCATTTCATGCATAATTCACATACAGTATTTTATACTGAATTGATCGATTTGAAGTGTAAAATTATATAAAAAAATTCGGTTGAAGTTCAGGGAATGCGGAATTTGGAGTACTTTTAAAAAATTGCCGAATTTTTACCTGGCCTCTCAAAATTTTGGGTGTTACACTTGCCACACCCGTACGGGCCTTGTCGCCTCTGCGTTGGCATAGGCGCCCCCACGTCACCCTTAATTCCTGCTTTTGAGGAGGTATAACAGCTTTCTTTCAAAGAACGGCCTGCACATGGAGCTGCTGCTGATATCCATCCTTGCATCTCCCTGCCATTGTGATGTAACTGCTCCTTCATATCAGAATCATTCATTATTTCTATATCTCTACCTTTGTTGATATATATAGACTAATATTAGACTAATATTCCACTCTGTTCAAAATATAATATACTTGCAGATTTCATACAGTATACTTTCTTGCTTCACTTCATTTCTGCATTTCTGTATTCTGCTTACATTTCCTGTAATGAGTCACTAACCTTGTTCTGTTTTGCTTCAATTTTTGGCTTTCTGGCGCTTCATTATCTTTTTGCTTGGTGCTTAATCATGTGTAAACATGTTTGCTGAAAAACATCATTTTGCCTGGGCATGGCTGTTGAAGCTTTTTGTTTTCTATTATTTGAATCATTTCTTAAAATGTTTGCTAACAAACATCTTAAGCTTTTTGTTTTATGTTATTTTGTCTCAACTTAAGCTATCTAAAACTAATACAAGATATGTTTATGTAAAAATTAAAAATGCTAGTTCTGGAATTTTTTCGAAATGGGTTTATGAATGCATAGAATTTTTAATTTGTCTAATCTTATACTATATTTATTTTTCGCGGATATCTACTGCTTATTGTGTTTTCATGTTATATTTTATTATAAAATGCAGCGTGAAGACTGGAGACAACGTCCACTATCTGCAGAAATGATTCAATATGCCCGTACTGATGCTCACTATCTATTACGCATTGCTGATTGTCTAGCCGCAGAGCTCAGGAGAGGACTTGGTATTGTTTTACCTTCTTCCAAGTTGAATTAATTTTAAATTCACAAATTTGAGATTTTAGGTGGGGTGGGCATGAGTTTCAAACAATTTAATTATTATCTTTTTGTTCATACTCTAATTTAGCAAAGTTTAGTATTGCTTGAGAGAAAAAAATCATTAGTTCCCTGTATTTACCAAAAACAATAATGCCTTTCCGAAGTCTAAAAGAATCTTGATTGCCTTGAGCTTACCTTCACGTGCTGACAGAGAATGTTCATAATAATCAGCTCAAAACACTAAGGCCCCGTTTGGGGCAGCTTATAAAATGCGAGCCTACACTAAGGCCCCGTTTGGGGCAGCTTATAAATGCGAGCCCGTCTTGTTTGATTCGTGCGTTACGGGCTGCATTTTGGGAAACAACTTATTTGATTGCTTAATAAACGCGATCGCGGGATTGATCTCGTGGCCCACATTCGTTTGGTTAAGTTTTACCCCGTTGCCCTCGACCTCACCTCTCTCGTGTCTCATTTGCCCTCGACCTCTCCTAGCGTCAATCGATTGCTCTCGCTTTCTCCTCTCGTGTCTCAATAGCGTGGATCACTCTCGGTACTCTTTCTCGCACCTCTATCCCTCTCACACGTATGGTTCGCTTTCTCCTCTTCCTCCCCTCTACGATCTCTGTTTACTGAAGTTATTCCTGTGGTAATTTTTTATGAAATGACTTTCTTTCTGTGATTTTTTGACTTTCTCAATTGATTGAGTTTTTGAGGTTGGTTTTTTTACTGAGAATTTGATGAATGGATGAAATTGGGTTGTTGATTTGTTCCGGAGCATTATTACGAGTGCCTTGACTGTAATTGCCTAAAATCTACATTGCTTACTGTTTTTATTTTTCTTTGTTTGATCTTCAATCTGACAAATGACTAGAAGAGCATGCTTTATATATATATATGCCTGGTC